TCATCGCTAATATGTTCTCCATTTCTATAATTGTGTTGTTTCAAGAAGATTCTATAAGTGGAAATATAAAGTATGTACCCTTTTGGGATTGGCTTTTTTTTTTCACTTAGCATAAATATCTGGAGATTCATCCAGATTCTTGTGTATATCAATGGTGCATACCTTTAACAATTCACCCTCTGAAGAAATTAATCGTTTCCAGGTTTTGGCTATTATGCATAAAGCTTCCATAAACATTCATGTTCAGGATTTTGTGTGATTGTAGGTTTTCATTCCACCGGAAAAAAAAAAAATGCCCAAGAGTGTTATTGCTGAGTTGTTTAGTAGTCACATCTTTAGTTTTTTGTTTTTGTTTTTTTAACTGCCAAATCTTTTTCCAGAGTGAGTGTACCATTTTACATTCCCATCACAAGAGGTCCAGTTTCTCGGCATCCTTGCTGGTAGTTGGTGTTGCTACTGTTTTGTGTTTTTTTTCTGCCTTTTTTTTTTTTTTTTTTTTTTGAGATGATGTTTCACTCTTGTTGCCCAGGCTGGAGTACAGTGGCATGATCTCGCCTCACTGTAACTGCTGCCTCCCACGTTCAAGTGATTCTTCTGCCTCAGCCTCCTGAGTAGCTGGCTTTACAGGCATACACCATCATGTCCAGCTAATTTTGTATTTTTAGTAGACATAGGGTTTTTCCATGTTGGTCAGGCTGGTCTCGAACTCCCGACCTTGGGTGATCTGCTGGCCATGGCCTCCCAAAGTTCTGGAATTACAGGTGTGAGCCACTGTGCCTGGCATCACTGTTCTTTGTTTTAGCCATTATAGTATGCAATTATGTTTTGTAGTGATTTTAATTTTCATTACTCTAATGGCTAATTATGTTGGACTTTCATGTGCTATCTGACTTGTGAATTGTATTAACATTTCTTAGCATTCCATTTTTATTTATCGTGACTTTGAGTAAACATCTTGAATAGCTTTTTTAGTGACTACTCTCCATATTACCTTATGTACTTAACATCACAGTCTGCTTGTTTCATCCTTTCCCCAATGTGATCTAGAAATTTTACCTACCTTTGTCTTTTTATTTGCCTCTGTTTAGAACATAATTGTCTTAAGTATGTCGTGTGTGTATGTTTAGAACCACATTAGAAAGTGTAATTTTTGCTTCCACTGTCAAACATAATTTAGAAAACTCAAGGGGGAAGGAAAGTTTATTTTATTTATCCATATCTTTTGTTTATCATGTTCTGTCTTTGTTGATCTTTCAATATTCTTTCTTTGATCACTTCTCCTTCTTAAAGAACTTTGTTTAGTCATTCTTTTGGGTAGGTCAGCTGGTAACAAATTCTCTTAGTTTTCCTTCATATGAGAATGTTCTTATTTCCCCTTCATTTCAGTAGGATAGTTTCAACATTTGCAGGAATCTGGGTTAATTGTTGTTGTTGTTTTTTCTGCACTTGAAAAATGCTCTGCCACTTCTGTCTGACCTGCATGTTTTCTGATGATAAATCCATTGTGCTCAAATTATTTTCCCCTTATAGATAAGATATTTGATCTCCTGCTGTTTTAAAGATTTTTTTGCCCCTTGTCTTTAGTTTTAAACTATTTGGTATAATTTATCTTGGTGTGGGCTTTTTGTTTATCCTATTTGCTCAGCTACTTAAGTCTATAAATTTATGTCTTTCGTCAAATTTAAGAATTTTTTGGCCATTATATTTTCAAGTTCTTTTTCAGCCCTGCCCTCTTTCTCTCTTCTTCTGGGACTATTATCATGTGAAAATTAGATCTTTGGTTATAGTCCCAGGGATCTCTTAGGTGATGTTTGCCCCCTCCCACCCACTTTTTTCCCTATTGTTCAGATTGGGTAATTTCTAGTGTTTTATACATTGCATTCATTTCTTCATCTGTCCCTTCCATTCTGCTCTTCAGACCATCCATTAAGTTTTTTATTTTAGTTATTATATTTTTCTGTTTTAAAATTTCTACTTGACGTTTCTTTATTTATCTTCTCTGCACTTGCTGACACTCTCTGGCTTTTTGTTTTTTCAAGTTTTTTCATAATTTCCCACTGAAGCACTTTTACGATGGCTGTTTTACAGCCTTTGCCAGGTAATTCTAATACCTCCGCCATCTTGGTGTTGGCATCTGTGAATTGCCTGTTTCTATTCAAGTGGAATTTTTCTGGCTCTTGGTAATTTTTTATTAGGAACTGGATATTTGGAGTATTAGGTTATAAGATGCTAGGTCTTGTCTAAACCTTCTGTTTTTAGTTGGCTTTGTCTGACACTGCTCTGGCAAGGGACGGGAGTGCATGGCGTAGCTGCTACCAAGTTGGGGTGGAAGCCCAGCTTCCCACTAGGACTCTGTAACCTTCAGAGTGTGTGTGTGTGTGGCGGAGGATTCTGTGATTCTGCTGCATGAGGCAGGGGTTCTACAATGGGTCACATCACCTTTACTGGGAGGGATAAGAGTGCCTCCTTAATCCTCCTGCGTGGCCTCCACTGACAGCATAAGAGGGTGGCCTCAATGATACTTAGGAGTAGTAACAGTCTTGACTCTCCCTTAGGCTTCCAGTAGGAAGTGGGAGGAACGCTTCTACCCAGTTGTCAATGGAAGTCCAGGTTATCCACGTGTGCACCATAGTGGGTTGGGGTTTGGGATGATCATTACTGCCCAGCAGAGGTGAGTGTCGTGGCTCCCTGCTCAGCCTTTTCCGATAATCATGAAGGTGAGTGTGGCAGGGATGATGTTAGGGGGGACCTGTTCTCAGCCTGGTAGTGGGGAAGTCAAGCCTCTCTGCTTGACCATTCCTGGAAAGGGTTAGGATGAGGGTACAGCTTTTTCTGTGGTGTTTCTGAGGGACTAAAACAATTATTTTCTAATACTTTTCTGTTTTGCTAGGCTTCGTCTTTGCCAGTCTTTCAAATAAAGAATACAAACTTTTGTGGGGGCTTTTCTTGTCCGTGCTCATGGGCATTTCTGGGTTGCTGGCTTCTTCAACTCCAATTCTGTGGTATAGAAAGCAAAAAGAAAACCCAGGAAATTCGCCACTATGTTATTCTTTGGGTCCTGAGACCTTTAGCCCATCTGCCTTCTTTTCTCCAATTTTCAGAATCGTCTTATGTTTGTTTTATATATAATGTATAGAAGTTTTAGTTGCGCTTGGTGAGATTAGGGAAGCTTATGAGAGTATCATCCTGCTTCATGTACAGTGACTTCATAATGCATTTTCGGCATCTGCTAAGCAAGTTCTCTCCCATTCATCTTCTTTATACATTTCTTGAACACTATCAGACTATTTTATACTTTCTGAAAGATCATTTTATCTTGTTTCCAAAGAATAATCATAAAACTGGAATTTTAATTGGAATTGAGTTAAATATATGTATAAATTTTATCTTAATTAGAGGAGAAATATTTTTATGATAGTCTTATATCCAAAAACATGCAGCATTCCATTTCATATTAGTTTATGTTCTTTAAAGTCTAATAATTTTCTTATGATAGGTTAAATGCTTTTTATGGTTCAATGTATTCCTAAGAAATCTATATCATTCAGTTTTTACCATGAATTGATTATTTTTCTTCATTTATATCTATCAAAGATGTTATTCATTTTGTATATCTACTTTGTACCCAGTCACTTTGACAAATACCATTACTAATTTTGTGAGTTGTTTACTGGAATCTTTTAGAGCTTTTAGACAATCATGTTATCAATAAAAGTATTTGTAATCATTTGCTTTTCATCTCCATAGCGATGTTAATTATTTTATTCATTTAATGGTCAAACAACAAAAACTGAAAGAAAAAAAAACCTTTCTATGTGGAAATGGCTTAATAAATGTCAACTTGTCCACAACATTCAATAATAACTGCCTGTGGAAATAAGTTAACTTGGATAGATTTCAACAATGAGAAAGCAAAATGCTGTAATATGATTCTATTTTTTTTCTAAAATAACAGAAAAGTATCAGTATGCAGCTATATATACAATATGATTATATAGGTAGAGGCAACTCTGTGAAAAGATGTCAATAGAGTTATATTGACAGGGGTAGATGAGCAAAAGCAAACAAAAAAGACGGCATTACATTATGATGTTAGTCACCATAGAAACAGCACAAATGATAAAATTCCAATCATGTTAAATTGCGTAGAGATCTGTAAAAAGACACATGGAGTGATGGCCAAAGCCATGTTCTGGTGCCCATGGTCTCAGGTGGAATTTCAGGGTAATTTAGTTTTTGTTTTATTTTTTATAAATTACTCAAAATGTTTACTATAAGGAAATATATGATCATAAAAACACAAGCTATAGCTTTTTTTGGTATTTTTTTTTAAAGCACAATGCCATTAAGGCAATTCCAGCTTAAGAATTAACTCAGGACTTTTGCCAATCTGTGGCATATTAGTTAAAATTTTTTCATGAAAAACTCTAGAAAATGGAAGAGAAATAATAAGAATCAAATAATCAATTTGAATAGCCTGAACTGAAGAGAAAACTCTGCAATAGTCTTTTGGAAGTATAAAGGTCCCAGTAGTCCCAGAAGTCTAGAAAGTGGGAATTAGTGCTCAATTTCTTGGTACTTTAGGGTGAATACACTAAGATTGTTTTCCTCTTGGGGGTCACTGGGAGCAAGAACTAAAGTCTTAAGTGATAGAATACAACTGTCCAAACTTACGTTACAAGCAAAACACTTGTTCAGCGTAGGCTGGAGTTGACTGGTTTAGTCTTGCCAAGATTATATGCAAGGGAAAAAGGGAATACTTTCCTAAAGAAGGATTGGGGTGCATGCACCAAAAGAAGGGAATAACCAGTCTGGGAAGAATAAAAAACTACCAGATGTCCATGCATGGGCTTGTAAAGGCTGAGGGTCTGCCAGAGCCTGTATCCTCTGGTGGGATGGTCACTGCCCAGTCTTGAGTCCATCTGCCTTCTCACAGACCCTGGGGATTCAGCTTGCAGTTCTCTCCACTACATACATTCACAGGACTCCTATTCTTTCAGGTCTCACAGTCTCTGCCACCATTTTCCTTTCATGTCTGCCTTGCCTGTTGGAATTGAGGCTCACTTCTTCAAATGGACACAAGACTATAGCAATAAATAAAAACGGAATAAAAAGATGAACTGTCTCAGTCAAAGTAATAAATAATCTGAGGAAAGTCAGGTTAAAAGAAATAACTACCATGAAGAATTAAACATCTGTTGGACCACTATGTTACCCTAGAAAAGACAGCGGAATATGATTGGTGGAAGACGATAACCCTAACTGGTCCATGCTGGAAGCAGGCAGTTAGCTATCTACTTCGATGAGTACCACCCATCCACAAAAAGTTGAGGAGATTTTAAATGAGGAATGTTTCCTTCTTCACATGAAAAAACCCACCATTAGGGACCTTGTTCAGAAACTTTGGTGGGCATTCAGCTTCAAGAAACCTTTCTTTGTGTGGATCCTGTTTAGCAACACTAGTGGCTGAGAACAATAATCGTTTATTCTTTCTCTCTGGTTGGGGGCTGCTGGGGTGAATCTCCTTCTTGGTTCAGGTCTGCAGGTTGCCTGGGACATTTATATTCTGGGCTCAGGCAGAAGGGGCATCAGCTAATGGAGGAAATTTTTCTCATGGAAATGGCACAAGTGGGAGAGGAAAAGGCCACGAGTGCCAGCACATCCCAAGCTTCTGTTGGTATGGCATCTGCCAACATTTTATTGGCCAAAGCAAATCATGTACTATGTCTGATATCCAGGGGCTGGAACTTCCTACTCCATGGAGGTTGTGGTTGGGGAGAGGCAGTGAGTGATTTTGAACATGGAAACCATCTCCCTCCCCACAAGATCCTGCTTGAGTGGGTCAGGGGATAATCAGAGAGCCCAGAGCTGGGTAGATGTGTCCCGGAGTGGACTAACAAAGAACTGACCAAAACAAAACAAAACAAAACAAAACAAAACAAAACAAAACAAAACAAAACAAAACAAAACAAAACAAAACAAAACAAAACAAAACAAAAACGTTGAAGGAGAAGAGGAACGGAAAAGAGAGAAGGAAAGAATCTGAAACTCTGTTAACTATTAACTATCATTGTTTTGGTATGACAATATCATATGCAATTAGGATTTTCTATACCATTTTCAACATCTGCCATGGATATCTAATGTTTTTTTAATCAGAAATAATACAAAACAGAAAGAGAAAAAAGAGAAGAAAGGAAGGAAAGAAGGAAGAAAGGAAAGAGAGAAGGCAGGGTGGAAGAGAGGGAGTTTTCCAAGGAGTTCTTTTTTTTTCTCAGATGTTATTTTTATTTTTTAATTTATTTATTATACTTTAAGTTCTGGGGTACGTGTGCAGAATGTTCAGGTTTGGTACATAGTATACACATGCCATGGTGTTTTTCTTCTCTGCCAATGGAAGCAAGAACAACCTGGCATTGATGGCAAGGATGGGAGAACATTTGGTGTTTTAAATCTTTAAAGCTTTTAAAAGGAAAGTGAATTCTACAAAATGCCTATTTTTTATGCTAGTTAAATTCCGTATCCAGGGCAGAAGCTAAAGATCACATTTTTATAAGGCTCTTTTTTTTTAAGAGATAGAAAATCTTCTAAGAAATTAATGTCCACTCTCAAGTCTGTTAAGAGGATGATGATTTATTGGGTCACGTATGCTGACTTTCTTCTATTCTTCTCCCGTTTCCTCATCTGAAAAACTAAGATGCTGAATGCAGTGATTGCTAAAATCCCTTGAAAATCTAACTTTCAGTAATTCTTATATTTTTCCTTCAGCTCAGTTATCTCCAGGTCTACTATTTGAAAACATGTTCCAAAGTGAGAGGTCTAATTATTTACCCTGCTTCATGCTGACATTTTCATAGTAGCTACCAGAAAAGCAAATGTGAGCAGTTCTTTTATTATTGTTTTTCAGATACACAAATATTAATAAGTGTTATATAAATTTAAAAATATAAATCAAATAAAAGTCACCAAATCTCAACAATATTAACCTTTCACAGTATGCTTTTAGTATTTTTTCAGTGCATGAATATCATATTTTGAACAATTATTGATCTCATTTTTTAAACTTTATGTATTGTGACATTTCCTCATGCAATGCAATTAAATTATCTTCTAAGCAATTACCTTGAAGGGTTAGGTAAGATTTAATAACTTTAAATTTTTTTCTTTATAAACTGGATTATTGGTAACCTATTTTTTGACCTTTATATTCTTTTAGTATAGAGTAGGGATGAAATCCATTGGTTTTGAGTTTTGATAGCCTGAGTTTGAAAGACTGGTTCTATTATTTATAGACTGTGTGACCCTGAACAAGGGGCTTCTCTAAGCTCTATTTTCCTGATTCGCAAAATGGAAATACAGCACAGCACCAATACACATTATCTATATATGGTTTATATGCATATGTTAACTATATGCTATCAATATAAATTTCAATAAAAAATGGTTGTGTGGCAGGGCAGTATTGAAGCTGTCCCTCGTATGCCTTCCCTCCACCCTGCTTTCTGTTCTCACTGCGTTTCTTCATTTTCATTCTATAATGGTCCCTCCTACTTCAGAGTGATTGACACCTTACTCTCTGGAACCAGAAAACAAAGACTGAAAATACTTGACAATTAAATTCCAGTATTACTGGCCTAAGCAGACAGAAGATAAATCTGCATATATATAGGTATGTTTATGAAGTTATTGTCACTGTTCCCAAACTGAGAAATCATGAGCTGAAAAGGAAAAGGAAGTTGGCGGGGGTGGGGGGAGGGTGGCATCATGGGTCTCCTTTTCCTTCTGGTACTAGACACTTCTGTGAAGTTGAGTCAGGGACCATGGGCCCTTTGAATTTCTGTAGGTGAGAATAAGCAATAGGTGACGTGAAGCAAAGCACCCACAGGCCGTTCTTCTGGAAGTGACTCTTTGTATCCCAAACTGCTTAGCCTCCATCTGATCATCTGGTTTGATTAACAACTGTAGGGGGTCCTGGGAACACACATCATCCGTCTACCTTAACCCTTCGGGGTCTGCAGTTAAGAGAAGGCTCTCATGTCTGAAGGAGTTGCAGTAAATGGAAACAGAAGGGACATACAGTCACAACTACAAAGTGCCTAGCACAGTGCCTTACGTTGTAGGAACTCACTGGACTTGGGCTGTTATTGGCATTTCCAATTGTTTCCTCAATAAATAATGAACATCTTTGTTTGTGCTTTTCTTTTGCTAGTGATTTCATTTTTATATATTAATTTGATTTTAAATTGACAAAAATTATATGTATTTATGGTGTACAACATGATGTGCTGATATGTGCATATATTTTGAAATTGATAATTAAGCTAATATATCCATTACCTCACATATTTATTACTTTTATTGTGGTGGGAACATTTAAAGTCTATTCTCTTAGGAATTTTCAAGTGTTATTATTTCCTTAAGACAATATCTTAGAAGTGCAATTGTCTAAGTATGACCATTTTTTAAGGCTTTTAATAAATGTGAAGCATCTTGCCCTCAGAATGATGTAACCAATTAACACTCTAATGAGAGGGTTTGCTTTGCTATATTTTCACCAAAATTAGTACAAAATACATAGGTAAGTTTTGTTTTTATGATTCTAAAAGTAATATTATGAACATGTTTATTGTGAAAGCACCCAAATTTTGTTTTTAAAACACAAGTACATTTTTCAATAAAATGAGCTCTGAACCATTATTTTTAATGCAAGCTAGTATCCCGTGGACTGATAGCATTTTATTTAGCCAGTCCTTTATTAATAGGCATTTAGATTGGACATATTATTTTGCTACTTGCTAAATTTTATGATTTGTCTTGAATGTATATTTTTGTGAATTTGTCCAATTATGCCCTTGGTGTAAATTTAGAAGTTAATTTACTAAGTTAAAGCATAATCAGCCATATGTTTAATTTGTTAATTACTCATTAGCAAATTACTCCTTTGAAAGGTTATACTAACTTACACTTGCTTCAGTAGTGCCCATACAGTGAGCAAAGCTTCCTTTTTTCTTCCTGACTATAATAGAAATGCTTCAAGATATGGCCAGTCTTTTCTATTGACTTCTGATAGGTATTCTTTATCACACCAAGTAAGTAGCTTTCAGTTCTGAGTTTTCCTAGAATTTTTTTCCGCTTGGTTAGGACCAAATGTTCAAATTTACAAAATCCTTTCTTAGCATCTGTTGAGATGTTCATGCATTTTTTTCTTCCTTTCACCTATAATGTGGTGAATTAAAAATATTTCTAATGTTAAATTCTCCTTGCACTTCTGGAATAAACCCTATACAACATCTTGACTCTGTTTTATAACATGCTCCAAGATTCAGGTCTGTCAAATTTGGTTTTTGATGTTGCAGCAATTTCACCATCCTTCTCTTCCTCATGATCACACATAAGCAAGCTTTATCAGACATAAGCTGAATGCATGCAATATTTTGAAATTTATTTACGTCATTTTCTAATCCTCACAAATATTCTTAAGAAAACTATTACTATCCTACTCTAGAAAAAATTTAATATGGTTAAGTGGTCAAGTCAAAATATTTTTGTGTAATAGAGTAAGATACAAATGTTATACATCACATAAACAGAATTAAATACGGTTCTATTTAACTTCTAAGCCTGCAATTTTAATCATTTCATGTATCCTTTATATTTGGTGAAAAGATTAATCTGTAGATTCTTTCATAGTGTACTATTTGTCAAATTTTATTATCAGGGTTATACTAATCTACTAAACAAATTGAAATGCTTCCTATCTTTTTCAATGTTATTAAATATTTGAAATACATAGAATTAGAAATTTTCTCCACATCATATAATATCCTTATCATAGGTAAATGATAATACACCTGTTTTCATTATTCAAAAATATATATTTTTGTTTAAATTTATTTTCTTTATTAAATTTGATTTTACACATTTTATTGGTATTTGATAAAATTCAGCATTTCTTTATGATAAAAACTCTCAACAAAATAGGCTAGAAGAGACCTCAAAGTAATAAAAGCCATCTATGAGAAACACACGGCCAGCATCATACTGAATGGGGAAATGTTGAAAGCGTTCCCCCTGAGAACTGGAACAAGACAAAGATGCCCACTTTTGTCACT